CTGTAACTGTTTATATGCTTTATATATTCTGAGCTAAGTTGATCTATAGTGTTGCATCATATTCTATAAGGATGTTATGTGTTTGTAGACTTTCTGCCCAGTTTGACCCATTTAGCAGACGTCAGCCTGTTTAAGGCTCTGATATCTATTCTGTGTGACTTACAGCAGTTATGACATGGTCTGATTTTCTCACCCAATAAAGGAATATTTCATATATCAGTCTACTCTTCATTCTATCAGACACAGTTATCACAGCTCATACATTTGCTTTTTACACATATATGTAAGCATTGAGCCAAATGTAATAATGCCAACATACTGAAGGAACAATATTTGTCTCTTATATATAATACATCTGTATACACACTGTCACAGATACTTGTCTTTGAGTGAAGATTTAAGGTGACAGGACATATAAATAACTGCAACTTGAATCTTTATTGAAGGTCAGTGTTTAGCACAGAGTTCATGTTCACTGCTGTAATAACTAATAATGATTAATATACTAACTATAATATTGGCCATATTATATTTACATTACCACAGTGAGATGATTTTAGTCTCATGAACAACATTAACTAATTGTTATTTCCTAGCTAATCTTAAATGACTGTTCAGCACAAAAATGAAGCCCAACAATCATGTTTTACAGTCCTGTGGTCTCAGCCTCAGATACTTATTAAATCACACAAAGCTCGTGTAGAAACAAATGAACAAAATATGTTCTCCTTCATTTCTGTCAAACAAAGCTGTATGAAACTTTTCCAGCTGTTAGTATCATGGTTGCTAGGCAACCTGGGCAGCGCGACGGAGGCTAGACCGTCCCATTTTACAAGCCTACAAGCCTCGCACTTCCAGCCTCAGCGGTCTTTGAGTACGCGGCCCTTGAGGACTGTTAAGGCTGTGTACTTTAAGGCTGCAGACCCTGAATTGGGATACAGCCATACATACATGTTTTGGTTCGTGAAACTGGTCCATCCGGTTATTGTCTCCCCGGAAACATTTCCATTGTGCTGTGTGTGCTTTTGCAGCGTTTTTCATTTTGCAGCATTTTTCTTTTTGCAAGTGTTTTCTGAAGTTGCAGTCCGTTTGGCCTCTCAGGGCCACCGTAGTTTTTTTCTGTTCTCAAACTGATCTCCCTGTTGGAGCTCAGTCTGAAGGGAGTTATTTTTTTCTCCTTATCTTTCCTCGTGTTGTGCTTTTCCATGTTATAACTCTCTGACCTGTCTTCCCCATGTGATGTTTGTGTAATGTATGTATGGTCAGATGGGTAAGATGGCGCCGCCATTGCGTGCAATAGGTCGGCAGCCTTAACATGAAATTTCCCCTTGTGGGACTAATAAAGGTATATCAATCAATCAAACCACCTTCGGCTACAATCCTGTCGCCTGCAGCGCCACTGCCAGTGGCATCTACTCTGTCATCTGCAGTGCCACCACCTGCTCCACCACCTGCGGTTGCCATGCAACCGTCTGGTCCAGCTCCATCACCTGTGGTTGACATACCACTGTCTGGTCCAGCTTCGACCCAGCCAGAGGTCAATGCCATGACAGGTTATGTCCACATGCAGAGTACCTGGTGCCTGCCAGATCACCTCCAGTTCCAGCACTCCCTGTGCCTGCCAGGTGACTTTCGCCGCCAACAAACATTTTTTTTTGTGATGGGTCTGTTCAGTGAGTCTCGTCTGTTATGTGTCCTGTCTGTCTAACTCATGTCACGTCTGCATCATATTTATGGTTTCTCTTTTACTTTGAAGGGTACCTGTGTTCAATGTTTACTGCTTTAGTTTAACTTCCATTGTGGTGTCATTTGGTTCATTCTAGTCAGCTTTTCCTCCATGTTCCCCACTTCCCCTAATCACCTCAAGTGTGTATTTAAGTCCTCTGTCTTCCTGTGTTCAGCGTTGTGTCGTCTGTGCTACTTACCCCACATCAAGTCACAGTATTTCTTGTTATTCTTACAGATCATGTATAGTGTCCTTAGTGTTCATAGTATTCGTAGTTGTCATAAGTCTAGTCACAGTTTATTCATAGTTTTCTGTTTTACCATAGTCACCTCATTTTAGTGTCCCTAGTTCGTTTCTCCCCTTGGTTTATTTTCATGTGTATCAGTAATCCAGAAAAGGGGTGGTTTAATAAAAACAAGTTCACTGCATAAAGCTGAAATCTACAACTTTAACATCTGTAATCCCAGTTTACAAGGAAAAAATAATTAAGAAAATAATTTGTTTGATTTATATTATTATGATTTATTTAATATACTGTTGAATAAAAAAGCCATACATAATACACAATGTAAAACACGAAAAAGGTCCTGAAATATGAAGAAAAATGCACCACTGGCTTATCTCCCAACAAAAACGTTGTAATAGTAAGTGATAATAAAAAGCAAATAGTTGATGGTTATAACCAATCCCCATAATTGATGAGTTTCAGAAAAATACCTAATATCACAGAACTAACTCTACATATTTCAGAAATGTATTACCACGTTTTCTGTCATGTTTTTATAAAAAATATTTTTGATCATAATGACAGTTGGTTCTTTTCAAATAAAGATAGTAATACAGGACAGAAATCCTCCAATGCAAACAAAATTCTGACATTGAAAAGTTTCCCTAATAAGAACAAGTGTTTAATTAAATATAACTTGATAAGGGAAAATGTGTCCTGGAACTAATACTAATGTAATGTATAACTACTGTGACTAACAATTCAATTTAATTTAAAACATCACCTCAAGGCGACTGATGTTTAGTTGTTGTTGTAATACCTATTTTACCTAATTATTTCTTTGTTGTGTGGGACCCAAGTGCAGTCTTTTGAAGTGTCAAAGGTAAATCAGGCTTAAGAAGCTCGCACAAACACCACGGACAGAGAAGAGCCCATCAGCTGCGTAGTCTCTGACTGGGGCCTGACGTCATCCAGCATACGCATAGTTCCTGGCTGGAGTCCTGACATTTTCCAACAAGGGCAGTAAAGCACTCTCTGATCGGGGTCCATCATCATCAGATGTAGGCAAAGATACAGTCTCTGGTTGGGGCTGTCTAGAACTCTCTGGCCCTGGATTAGCAGGTGTGACATCCTCTAAGGCATGATAAGATCTAATTTCAGTGGCTCTGGGGATTTGGATGAGGTCAGGTCTCGGATCAAGTTCAGGGAGCTCTGTTGGCACAAGCTCTGAACTTTCGAGACCTTATCTAGTCTGGAAGGCTGGAGCGCCGCTGGGCATTTAGACTCAATACCTGACAGGATTGGCTTCAGAAGCTCAGGATATCTGGATTCTGGACCCTTTAGTAGTTTTTAGTATTTTAATTCTGTAATACTTTGTACTAATTAGGACTCATCTAAACTTATCTTCCTTCAACAGGACATAATGTGACAGTTGGCTGTTGGCTATGTCTATTATTGTGATGTTACAAAATGGAAAAAAGTTTTATAGGTTTCTTATCTATGGGTTGAGACTAGAAGTAGCAACCACAACAAATTGTGGACAACAGTAAAGATGATTAAAGTTACATTATTAATGTGTGTAGATGAAATATCTCTTTGTGACTTAACAGTTTTGTTCATGAGACAAAGCACGACTTTTCCTCCTCTGAAGTCCACAGTCTCTCTTTCAACTCACTCATCTCTTTAGCATGTTTTTTCTGTATTTCATCTAGTTCTTGCCTGGTACCGTCTTCATCTTGCATTCCAAGTTTCTGTTTCAATTCATTCATTTCTTTTTCATGCTTCTTCTGCAGTTCATCAAATTTTTCTCTCTCATTTGTTCCACTTTTTTCTAGAAGCTCTTCTTTGAATGCCTTCAGGTTTTGCTCATGTTGTTTTTGTAAGTAATCCAGTTCACCCTTCTCTTTTTGCTGATGTTGGTCTAAAAGTTTATGTTTCAAATCTGACATTTCTTGTTCATGTTTGATGGACAGCCTGTTTCTTTCTGCTTTCTGTTCCTCTGTTTTTTTAGATCCAAGTTTCTCCTTTAAGTTTTTCATTTCCTCTTTTTGTTTCTTCTTTAATTTACCAATTTCTTCCTTTTCCTCTTCTTTGTTATCCTTTAAAAGTCTCTTTTCACACCTTTCCACTTTCGATCTATATGATTGCTGCATTGTTTTTATTTCAGTCTTGTTTTCTTTCTTCTGAGTTAGAAGCATGAGGATTAATTCAGTTATTTCTGATTTATGTTTATCCTGCAGTTCATCCATTTCTTTCTTCAGACTATTTTCTTTGTGGTCTGACAGATCCTTTAATCTTTCGTATTCTCCCTTCTTGTCTTGCATGTCTTTCTCATGTTGCTGCTTCAGTTTCTTTATGTCGTCAATGTGTTTTTGAATCAGTTCTGCAAAACCCTTCTCCTTTTTCTCTCTAAATTCATTGAATTCTTCAGCTTTTTTTCTGGCTTCTTCTTTAAACTTCCCCATGTCTTCCTGCATGTTCTCAGTTTGTTTCTGATAGTTGTCCTCTAACTCTTTCAGCTTCTCTTCCTGTTCTCTTTTTATTCTTTCCTCTTTTTCTTTTCTTTCATGTTCCAACTTTTCTTTTACTTGCTTGTATTTTTCTTGAAGCTCCCTGATTTTCTCTTCTTTCTCTTTATCTTCTTGTTTTCGTTTTTCCTCCAATTCTTTCCTTTCCTTCTCCCAAGTATTTTGCTGCTCTCTTATTCTTTCTCTGTAATGTTCACACTCTTTATCGATTATTTCCCTTGATTCTGACTCTGATCGTAGTTTTCCCTCAAGTTCTTGTATTCTTTGTTCCCATTCTCGTCTTTGAAGTTCTTCCTGTTCTCTCTTCCTCCTGTCTTCTTCTTCTCTGAGTTTTTGTTCTTTCTTCCTCTCTTCAGACTGAATGTGGATGTTGTCCTGAAGTTCTTTAAGTTGTTTCTCTCTCAGATTTCTTTCGTGATCAATTTCTGCTTTCTGTTGTTGCATTCTTTTTTTCATCAACTGGATTTTTTCCTCATATGTTCTTTCAAGCTCCTCCTTCTGTCTCTGCATCTCTTCTTCCTTCTCCTTCAGGATCCTCTGCATTTCTTTCTGTATCGCAGTTTCAGCCTCTTGCAGCATCTCATTGGTGAAGCAGTTTCCTCCATTTTCCTTCACCATGGTGTCAATCTTTGTTATCAGCTCAGTCACTTGTGTGCAGTTCTGCTTATAGTTATTGAACACATGGTATCTTCCTCCACAGTCGGAGATCAGCTTCTTAAAGGAATCATCAGACTTTTCAATGTATTCTTCAACAGACACCTTTGCATGTTCCAGTGTATCTCCTTTTGTGAAAAGAACAATGGTGAACTTCTCGGAGTTCTTCCCAAAGACTTTCTTGATCAGTTCCAGTGTCTCCTTCTCCTCTGCTGTGAGTCTCCCAATCTGTAACACCAGCAGGAAGACATGTGGTCCTGGAGCCAGGAGACTGACACATTTCACCATCTCCTCATTGATCTCTTCATGTGTTAAACTGTTGTCAAACAGTCCAGGAGTGTCGACCACAACAACAGGATAACCGTCCACATCGCCCTGTTCTTTTTGACAACGTTTGGTGACCGACTTTTGGAAAGGGCTAGATAAAAATATATCTCGTCCTAGAATGGTGTTTCCTGAAGAGCTCTTTCCACAGCCAGTCTTTCCAATGAGCACAATCCTGAGACAGTCTGGGCTCTGCATCTCTTCATTACCTATAAAATGAGTTGGAATGAGTTAAATTGGATACTGACAGTTTGAATATTATTAATTAAAAGGGAAATGTTTACAACATAAACATAATGGCATTTATAAAAATGTGCATTACTTACAGCTGACGGTACCTTTTGTTTTCAGGTCCTTAAGTTCAGCCTGCAATTCAGTGATACATTTCTCTTTTTCTAATATATTTTCTATTTGTGCATTTGCAAAGGTTTTAGTTGTGTAGCTGCATAATTTGCTCTCTTTAGATTTTAGAGTAACTTTTTCCAAAATGCTGAAAATCTTGAAGACCTCTTGTTTGTCCTTGATGTTGACGACAACAGATCTTCCTCCACAGCTCTCACAGAGCTTCTGGATGTCCTTGTCTTGTCCTACAAAGTTAAGAACAGCTGGATCTGTAGAATCTGAGTCCACAGTGAACAGAATCATGGTGAAGTCATTGACCCGAGAGCTGAATGCATCCTGGATGGTCTTTAACTCTCCCTTGTCTTCATCAGTGAGGGGAGCCACAGGTAGGACCAGGATGAAGGCATGGACACCCTCAGGATCACAGAGGGAGATACACCTGAGTGATTCCTCCATCACTGCCTCCTGAGGTTTTCCATACAAGGCAGGCAGCTCCACCAGGGAAACCCAACGTCCACACACCTCTCCCTGATGTTTAACACACTCTGATGAGTTGCTAGGTGGATCAAACCTCTTTTGTCCCAGAATAGCATTAACTGCTGAGGTCTTCCCTGCTCCTCTTCTACCACACAACACCAGGTTCAGAAGAGGTTTTGATCTGTTAAACATTGCCACAAAATCTGCTTCTTCATTTAAAGTCAAATATCCTTCTTTAGTCTCACTCAGAATTTTTTTAATTTTCTCCATCAATTCCTGCTGGTCTTGTTTGAAATCTTTTTTATCAATACTAAATCTATGCACCCTTTCTTGGCAGTCCTGGATGAGTTTTTCCACTGAGTTATCCCTTTTCTCATTGTATGTCATAGAAACCATGGAGTGTTTAAAAGCCTCTTGACCAAACAGACTCAAGATGAATTTCAGAATTTTCCTGTCCTCTTCAGTGAAATCAGAAGGTTTCACTAACAGCAGAACATTTGGTCCAGGACGACAGAGCTTCACACACCTCTTCAGCTCTTGTCTCACTCTTTGCACAGACAGATTGAACAAGTCTGGCATTCTCACTACTGTTGTTGGGTTCTTGTTCCACTCGCCACTGGCTGCCACACAGTGTTTGGTTGAAGGTTTAAGAGTAAAATTGCTCTCTCTTTTTCCAGTGATGATATTTTCCAGTGCTATTTTTTTGTCATCACTCTTTCCAAACAATACGATCCTCAGTGCACATCCTGTAAAAAAAAGATCAAATAAATCATATTGTAAATAAATAAAGATCTTAAATAAATCATTATACTTCCACTGGAATTTACATAACATACAATTTATTCTTATGTTTGGTATGAATCTGTGGTTAAGTCTGCTGGAATTGCTGCTACTAGAAAACATTTACTTTCGTAACTTCTTTTTTCTTCCTATTTCTGCTCCTCTTTAAACACTTATACCCTCACTTTCGTCACTCTTTGCAGCTTCACTGCTACACCTGTCTCCCTCTCATTCACACACATGTAACTAACCTCTTCCTTTGAATTCTTTCCTGTGCTTACTCATTCTACCACAAGGTCTCCTTGTCCTCTTTCTTCTGTCCAGAGGTTAAAACAAACATCTTGGCAATTTCTCTCAGCACTAAAGATGTGCTTTCTAAACCCAACAAACTCCAATTGCTGAAATGGATTTAACGTGGAACTGGCTACAAACTAAAGCGATTCGCACATGACGATTATTAGTCCACTATCGTGGTCAATAGTCATTGACCCAGAATTTTGTATTTGGATATTAAAGTTCTTTTTATTATTAAATATTTTCCTTTTTGATTATTAGTGTGCTTATTGTTTACATTTTACCTTTATTGTTATTGTATTTTGTTAGTATTTGGTTGTCTTCATTATTATCATCTGCATCTTGTTACCAATCCATTTCCACTTCCACCCTTTTGTGTCTCACATTATATAAAGCTTGGTCCACAAATGTTTAGACAGAGATGTTTTTCTAATTTTGGTTCTGTACATCACCACAATTATTTTTAAATGAAACAACTCAGATGCAGTGGAAGTGCAGACCTTCAGCTTTGAGTGGGTCAAACAAAAAGACTGTATAAAATGTGACAAACTAAAACTTTTTTAACACAGTCCCTTCATTTCAGGGGCTCTAAAGTAATTGGGCAATAAAATAAGTGAAAATAAAATGTTCATTTTACTCTCTCAGTGGCAGTGGGAGTAGTATACAACACATAACAACAATGCTGGTGCCCGAGGGCGAGCGTCTGGTGGCCGGGCCTTAGTCCATGGGGCCCGGCCGGGCACAGCCCGAAGAGGAGACATGGGCCCATC